CCCAGCAGCTTACCCATGGCTGTGTCTGCTTGTGAGAAGGCTACAACATGTCCACAAACTGCCCCCAACAGCCACAGCCCAAAACTGTGCAGGCTGGGCAGCAGTCTGACCTGGGGTGCCAAGTGCTGCATCCTGCAGATTTGCCCAAGTCAGCAGTGCAGCACTTCAACCCCCAACCTTGCACCCACAGGGATGCAACCTGGGTGGAAGCTGCACAGTCATGACACACTTGATCAGGGCTGGTGATGACGTCACCATGACTCACCAGAAGAGTGAGGCAGGCTGCCTGGCACCAGCTGTCAACCCCTTGGCTGTGGATGATGACTGCAGGATTTGCCTAAGGCAGTGCAGAACTTGAGCTGCAGCCTTGCAGCCTTGGCCTCACACCCACAGGTTGGAAGCTGCACAGTCATGACACACGTGATCAGCACTGCTGATGACGTCACCATGACTCACCAAAAGAGTGAGGGAGGCTGATATCAGCCTCCCTAGCTGGTGCCATCGATGGCACCAGCTGTCAACCCTTGGATTCTCCTAAGGCCCCCGACCTGACGGTGATGAGCTCGGTGCTGACCTCAGCAACAAAGCAGGCGGTGCGCCTGAGTACAGCCGCCCCAAACCTCCTCATTCAGAATGCGCGTGCCGCCGGCGGACTGGGCTGTCACTCACTGGCGGTGGAGGCTGCCACGCAGGCTGCTGAGCGCACGATCACCTGCCTGAATGACAAGGGCAGAATAGGCCGGATCACAAAATAAAGCTCTGCTGAGGGCCCAGCTGGAGCTACACAATGGCACCGCCACGGACGTGGTGGGGCCGTCCAACAACAGGCCGAGCTGGCTACACCAATACAGCATGGGGTTGCGGAGGCTTGAAATAGCGCGCCAGACGGGCCTCTTCGGGCAGCAGTCTGACCTGGGGTGCCAAGTGCTGTGCATCCTGCAGATTTGCCCAAGTCAGCAGTGCAGCACTCCAACCCCCACCCTTACACCCACAGGGATGCAACCTGGGTGGAAGCTGCACAGTCATGACACACTTGATCAGGGCTGCTGATGACGTCACCATGACTCACCAGAAGAGTGAGGCAGGTTAG